CTTCCATTAAATAATGTGAGTGAAATCTTCAGATCTTTGATTTAAATGACTTAGAGAGATTTCCTCACATATTTTTCAGTCTGGGGGAGCCATTCTTAAATCTCCTTTGAGCCTATTGCTTACTCTTTTGAAAGATCTAAATATGTATTTCCATAGTCTGCCAATTGATTGCTCTTTGTCCACATTTATTTTCAGATACATTTGACTTTTCAAATCAGATCATTATTCCAGAAGCTAATCTATTGGAAATCACAGTGCTGTAATTTGCCAATAATGTATTATCTCTTTAGGTATAATTGGTCATCAGTGTAAGGATGATGATGTTTGTCTCCGGATTTTTATGAGGACTGATAAATTAATGTTCATGATCTGTTTTAAACACTAGGTGCTATTATAAAATGATCAACAAAATTAATTTTTAAAGCAATTTAAATCAAAATAGTTATAGCAATAGAACATGACCTCAATAAGAATTCTTCCTTGAACATACATGACTAGAGAGAGACCATTTTTCTGTAACAATAACGTTATCTCAAATATTTGCAAATTTTTCCTTCTGGCTACTGTGGTGTCTTATCAGAACTTGCCAGGAACACAATTCACAATTCAGGCACAAAAATATTGGTTAAAGATAGTTTCAGGGTTGACCCTGACACTTTCCTACTAATTCACATGATCTCTCAGAGGGATCAAATTCCTCCACAGGTCATTCATTTCCTGGCTTTTGCTGTTTTGTGTCCATCTTGACTTTGCCCATATAGTTGGTATTTTGGAATTCTGATTAGAGTACAGTCTTTTTACTTTTTATACAAAGGCATGAGTGGATTTCCCTTTTGATACAACAGGAAGATTGTTAAAGAAATAACTAATAGTAAGTATAAGAGCATTAATTATTGGTGGATGACCTACATTTGGCCCCTCCTAGTGGACTGATTCTGCCTTACAGGGAGATTTGCTGTTGGTAAACTCCAGTTGGTTGGAAAAGAAGGCTTAAGGACCTGAAGTTCTGAGTGGGATGCCTGTGAAGTTAGCTTCGCTGGGCCAGTCATCAGGCAGAAGTGTATCTCTGGTCACAATAGAAATTAAGAGGAAAAATGTGCAAATCCATCACCACTGACCTTGGAGGTACTTTTAGGCGTTCCTCTCCTTTATTTACCACATATAACTAGGTGAGAGGAAGCATAGTGAAGGGGATCACGACATGGCCTGGGAGTCAGGCCCAGCCTCAGACATTATGGCCTGTGTGACCCTGGGTGAGTCATTTAACCTGAGTTTCACTGAGGGAAGGGCCAGTGAAATCACAAATCTGGTGCCTACTCCCCGCCCCCCCCAATCCCCAAATACCAATCATCAAGTACAGGAGCACTGATTTTCTTTTCAGAATGTTTTTGGTGTTGCCCCTGTATCTCCAGTCCCACCGCTTCTGCTTGGGCGCTGTCCCTCTTCTCTTATGCCTGTGCTGTTGATATAGCGCGACTGACTTCAAGCTGTGGGCTCTATGCACCCTGTACCCAGCTTCCAGACTTACCTTCCTTAAACATTACTTCATTAGAGCACAGACTCACAAACTTTTCAATCAAACCTGAGGTCAAAGGGACCTCAGAGGCCGTCTAGCCCGACCAGTACTAGAAAGACATCCCCAGCATAACACACCTGGCAAGTCAGTTGACAAGCATTTATTAAGTGCTTACTATGGGCCAGGCCAGGGGACAGCTGGATGGCTCAGTGGAGAGAGTTCTGGGCCTGGAGTCTGGAAAACCTGAGTTCAAGTCTGACCTTAGATACTTACTGGCTCTGCGGCCTTGGGCAAGTCACTTAACCTTTGTTTGCCTTAATCCACTGGAGAAGAAAATGGCAAACCACTTCACAATCTTTGCCAAGAAAACCCCTTGGACAGTATGAGCCGTGGACTCATGGAGTCAGAAATGACTGAATGACAGTAACTTGCCAGGTACTGTGCTAGGTATTGAGGATACAAAGAAAAGCATAAAGCCCTCAAGGAGCTCAGATTCTAATGGGGCATAACAAATAAATGGCTAACTAGGTACGTACAAGATACATGCATTGTGTAGCAGATTCTCTGGGCTTTCTCTCCCAAATCCCACTCCTGTGGGCAGGTTGGGCTTCCCAGAGGGCAGCTGCTATGCCCCTCCTTGGTTCCGGGAACCCTGAGGTGCTGGGGGTGGCTTTCTAAGGCTATTGTTTATGAGCCCCCTCTGGTGTGATTATCAGTTTGTATCGGGTAGCCAGACTTGATTAGCTTTTGGAAAGGAGCATTTCACCTTTGCAACATCTCTCCAACATGCCCCCTTCTTTCCTCTGACACTACTACCATCTTGATACAGGCTCCATCATCTTGAACCTGGGCTATTATAATAGCTTGCTGGAATCTCTTCTCCCTCCAATTCAGCCTCCAGTTTAGCTGCCAAAATGATTTTCCTAAAGCACAGGTCTGACTGTGTTATGACTGCCACCATTCAGCTACCTCTAGGCAATCAAACACAAAATCCTCGTCTGGTGTTCGGAGCCCTTCCCACGCCCTCCCCCAGTCACCTTACACTTTATTCTCTGCCTTGTACACTCTGATCCAGTGACGCTGGCCTCCTGGCTGTTCCACAGAGGGGACACTCCATCTCTGGCTGTCCTTCCCATGTCTCTGTCCATGCCTGGAATGCTCTCCCTCCTCATTTCTACCCCCGGGCTTCCCTGGCTCCCTTCAATCCCCACCAAAAGCCTATCTTCCACAGGAAGCCTTTCCTTTACTCCTTAATTCTAGTGCCTTTCCTCTTTTAATTATTTCCTAATTTTCCTGTGTGGGGTGTGAGGGGTGCTCAGGGAGGACTAGCACCTGTAGGGGGGGAAGCTTGGGAGCCTTTTTCAGGGCTGCTTATCCACCTGTGGTGTCCACCTGTCACCTCATTCTCATCTGTGGCTCCAAGAAGCTGCAGCATGTGCAGCGGCCACCCTGGTCTTGGCAGATGGGCTAAAGCAGGGTGAGAGTAACCGATAGGCCTCTAACCGTTTGGTGAGTTGGGAGGTGTCTCCCCCAAGCACGTGAAGATTTCCTCCAGTAGGAATAGGCAAAATTAGTTCCAAGGCCACTAAGTCGCTGAAGCAGGTCCTGTGAGACACTTAGAACTCGGTCAGACGTTGAAGACATCCACTGCATCCTGGGCCATTGCCAGGCATCTTGACTTCTGTCTTGCCACTGGACTTCAGAGACTCTGGAAGAGAGAGGGAAGCTGATGACTTTGTGCAGTTCTGTCTTACTTAAATGCAATTCATGCACGAGTCAAGACATCGTCTGTGATGTCGCTGGTCCTCTTCTGAAATCTGTCTACAGTTTGTTTGCACGTAGAGGTTTACTCTTTGTCTCCCCCGATTGGATTATAAACTCCTTGAGGGCAGGGACTGTCTTTTGCCTCTTTTATGTATTAGTGTCTGGCATATAGTAGATACTCAGTAAAAGCTTATTGGCTGACTGGCTTGATTGATGGGCATTTGTGGATCCCAGAGGGCGTGAGCAAGTCTGTCCACAATCTGAAGAGACTTCCTTTGGCCTAGTTAAAATGCCCTTGATCAGTGAGTGACTCAATAACCCTAGCCTTGGTGTACCTAGTTCACACCTCTGTCTACCCTGCTGGATGTGTGTTTTCACACCTCTCTCTGGGTCAGGGAATGTGTTTTCACCTGATAAAGATATTAGGGCTAAGTGAGGCAGATTGATTGATTAATTGACTGATTTATTGATTAATGACTCACTTGATGCCATCTTATAAAAAGCAGTTAATCTGTGAGGGAAGGCTTCAGTAGCTGGGGTGGGGGGAAGGGCCTGAGAAAGGCCTTCCTTCCACAGAACATGACTTCTTATGACTTTATTGTCCGTGCTACAGAATTTAGCATTTCATCATGTACTGTCATTTCTGTGCTCTTATTCATTTCACTGGTGTTATTCTTGCTTTTCCAGTAAGATTGTAAGGCCTCAGGAGCAGGAACTGTGTCTTGTTTTTTTTCTTTTTGTATTACCAGTCACGGCTGGGCACATAATAAATGCTCAGAAATACTTTGTGATTCAGGGAAGCTCGGTGGCACCACAGTGCACAGAGTGCCTGCTCATCTTCCTGAGCTCAAATTTGACCTCATGCTTATCAGTTGTGTGATCCTGGGCAAGTCACTTCACCCTGTTTGCCTCAGTTTCCCGTAAAATGAGCTGGAGAAAGAAATGGAAAACCACTCTACTGTCTTTGCAAGTCAAACCCCAAATGGGGTCATGAAGAGTCAACACAACTAAATGACAGGTTCACTGGGGGCTCAAGGGTGGAAAGAAAGGATATCTTCAGGAGATGCTAGGTCTACAATTGGAAAGGACCTCAAAGTCCATTAAAACCAAGGCCCAAGAGGAGGTTCAGTGACTTGTCCAGGGTCACATGGGCAATAAATGTCAGAGGCAGGATGTGAAATCAGGTCTTCTGACTAGAGAGTCAGTGCATTGGGCCACGCGGCCTCCTTCATTGGGAGTGAGAATCAGTAGGCCAGAGGGACTGAGAAAGGATAGCTTGGTGATTTATTATTATTATTAGTCAGGAGGGAGAGAATAAGTAATCTTTTCATTAGAATCTCACAACAGCCCTGGGGTGTAGGTGCTATTGTGACCCCTATTTTACAGTTGAAGAAACTGAGGCAGACAGTGATGAAATGACTTTCCCAGGCTTGCTCAGCTAGTGAGAGTCTGAGGCTGGATTTAACTCCGCAGCTCTATCCACTGCGGTTTGACCTCGTGGCCTTCCCCAGGGACAGAAGCAAGATTGCAAGGACTTGAGCAACATCCATGGGGTGGGTGAGGAAGGCCAGGCAGCAAAGATAGAGCAACTTGAGAAGTTTAGGAGATAAGGGTGAGAGAGGGGGGAGCTCGAGGCGGGCAGGTAGATTGGTCTAGAGTCTAGATGGTCTCTTCACTCCATTCCTGTTTTAACATCCTGTGGTTCTGATGCACTTTGTAGCAGCTCCTGACAAAAATGCCTGCAGTCAGCCTCTGCCACAGGAAGAGGGCGCCCTTCCCTTCCTTTTCTGTTTCTTCGACAACATCATTGAAAGCTGTGAGTATCTTTCCCCAGAAGGGGAATTTATGGTCTTCTTTTTATCCCATTTCCAAACACACGAGGATGGATTGAAGTACATGGTCACAAAAGCGTGCGACAATATTGTTTTCCTTGAAAGACTGAAACAATGATCTTTCTCCTTTCCTTCCTCATGACAAGAAGGGTGGTTTTCCATTGATACCACTTCTGGGCCTAGGCTCCCAGGATCATAAATCCAGAGCTGGACGGAGCCTCCAAGTGATCTGCTGCATGAGCATCTGCCCCTCGTTCTGCAGATGAAGGAGCCTGGCTCTGAGGAGGTTAAGGGACTTGCCCACTTGTTTCTGTGACACTGCTTTCTCTTGGTTCTCTTTGTGTCTGTCTGACCAGTTTCTCTAAGGCTCCGTCTGGGTCCTGTTGCATACCAGCCTCCCTCCTCATCCCCCTCTTCCCTTGCAGTGCTCTGTCCCAAACCTTCTACTTTTCTCTCTACGTTCTTGGTGGGCTTACCATCTACCATGGGTTCAATACTCAGCTCTAGTCAGATATTCATATACGGACATAGACATGTGTGTATATCTCTAACCCTAATCCCACGCTGTGAGCTGTCCTAACATGTCCAACACAGGACTCACTATTTTCTCCCTCCCACCCTTCCCTCTTCTGAACTTCCTTATTACTGTCAAAGGTACCACCATCATATTTCCTGTCACTAAAGGAAGCCTGAGTTCAAATCCAGCCTCAGACATTACTAACTGAGTGACTCCGGAGAAGTCACTTACCCTCGATCTGCCTCAGTTTATTCAGCTGTAAAATGAGGATAATAATGGTACCTACTTCCCATGGCTGTTGTGAGAATGAAAGGAGGTGATAATTGTGACATCCTTAGCACAGTGCCTGGCATGTAGTAGGCCCTTTATATGTGCCTGTTTGTTTTCTTCCTTCCATCCTTCACCAGTGCTTGATAATAGGGACCTTCTTGCTGCTTTGACCAGGAGTCAGAGTCTGAGGTGGTATTTGAGCCCAGAGTCTCAGATTCCAGAGTTGTTACTTTTTCTGTGGTACTAGGTATAGGAAATTATTTCATTCGCTCTTTCGTCATTGCCACTATTATTATAATTTTCACATGTAATATCTGTATGAGCATATATTTGATAATCCTGTTGTGCCCACTTTTACAATAGTCCTTAGAACAATAAATAGAACAGAAAAATAGCAGGAGAGAGGCTTGTCCCAGGGTCAAGTCTGTCAGGAGAACGAGGTCCTGATTACAGTAATGGCGTGGAAGGGGCTTCAGAGCCCATGCAGGCTGAGCCTGAACAGGGATAGTTCTGGTTCTAGGTAGGCCCCCTACTGAGAACCTAGCCTGCCTAGGCTTTGAGTGCTGCCAAGCCCAGGTTCCAGGTTTTTTATTCTCTGGGGTCGGTGGGCTAGCTGCCTTCAGAGAAGAGGCCACAGGGCACTTGGTGAGGCTGTCTGCTGAGGTGCAGAGTAGCCCCAGTCTGTTCCTGAGTGATGAAAGCATAGAACCTGCAGTACTGCAGTTGTTATTGTTGTTATGATTGTTATCATTAGCCACAAGAAGCCTCTGCAGATCCCTGGTTCCCTTCAAGACTCAGCTCACGTCCCACTTCTGCAGGAGGCCTTTCCTGGTCTCCTGGCAGAGAATGGCTGGTCCTCAGAGATGGCCTTCCCTCGACTCTCTGGAGACGGGCAGTGAGTTGGAGTGGGTGGAGACCTGAAGAGAAGGCTCGAGGTTAAAAGTTCCATACTGGCCCTGGCCAAGTCACATCCCCTCTTTGGGCTTTAGGCAACACTCTAGGATGACAAGGTGACCTGACCTGCCTTTGTGGAGGGAATTTCCTCCCCTTGAAGCTCCCTCTGCCAGGGGAAGCACAGACCCAATCTCCTTCCCATTCTGTGTGTCTAGTACTTCCTGAAGAAAGGGGCTGTTTTTGCCTTTTGTTGTGTGCCCAGGGTTTAGCACAGGCCCAGCAAAAAGTAGGCACTTAATACTTACTGATTGACTAATAATAATAATACGTCTTCATAAGACAGATATTGAAAGTCAGCACTTTCAGTTGAGTGGTGACATTGGTTGTTGTGTATGAGGCAAGTTAGACGAAAACACGAGTCTAAGTCAGAGGCCTTAAATGAATCAAATGTTTGTTGGAGCACGCCGTAGGCCACAACAGTCAGGAAGGGCCTGTACACATAGCCGGTCACAGCAAATGCGTTCTGCTCGAAAAAATGTACACTTTTCCACTCAGAAAGGCCTTGTAAAATGTGTGTGTATGTTTTCCTCGAGTCATGTTTTACTTAAAATATGCTCACTTGCTCTTTAGTGTAGACGTGGCTAGCTGGGACGACTGTGGCTTCTCCATTGCCTTTCTCTAGAAAAACACAATATTTCAGGGCCCAAAAGCAACAACAGTGAGGAAAATGAGCTACTTCTGGAAGAAAAGCTCATCTGTGTGGGCCAAAAAGACCTGGATGAAAACATTTTTAAAACTTTATTGCCTGGGGGGCAGCTAGGTGGCCCTAGAGTCAGGAGGACCTGAGTTCAATCCAGCCTCAGACACTTGACACGAGCTATGTGACCCTGGGCAAGTCAGAGTCAGAGAAGAAAAGAAAAACTTTATTGCCTGGATTTTTCACTTTCTAGCCCAATTTTTGAGTGTTTCATTGACACGGCATCAGAATCACTAGTGGATGCTTTTTGATAGTACTGAGCTCACGATGCACTCCCTGAAGAGAGCTGTTGGAGGACTCTTTGGGCTCAATGTATAAACACGTTTTGCTAATTTTATTTTAAAATGTAGATGTGCTTTTAGTCAATAATGTGGACTTGTCTTTCATTTTTGGTGCTTCTGATATCACGAGACCCTCTCCATGTTCCTTTGTTAGCTCTGAACTTCCCAAGATCACCAGGAGGCTCTCCCTTCTAATGGGCTTACATGTTGGTTAGGATTTAGGACACTGCCAATCAAAGCACTCAGCTGCCTGCACATACAACCACCTCAGGATAAAAGGAGCACAAACTCCAGATATGAATCCCCTATTCCCAGAAATAGTTTTCCTATTCCTACCCCAATTCCAAATCTTCTTTGTCTGAAAGCAAATTTAGCCTTTCAATCCTAACCCAAGAAGTGACTGGACTTTTGTTTCATTTTAAGCCAAAACATTCCAAGAATATCCCACTACATTCCTTAGAAGCCCAAAGAGCCATAACAATGCTCTCTGTCCAAGATTCATTCCCTTATGAAGTCAAGCACTGTCCCTAGACCCTTGGGTGCCCGCGATAAAGAGAACAGGCCCTCGGTCATCTCTTTGACCAGGTGGGTCTGAGGAGCTTTTTCAGACGTCTACAATATCACCACCAAGACTCAGGCAGTAGGTGTTGGAGTACATTTCACAAAATCTCTGATGACCTCATGAGCAGAGAGAAGCCAGGTCTCTCATTTTGGGCAAAGCCTAAATATAAGACTACTTTATATTTATGTAGTGTCTTTTTTCCAAGGAACTCCAACCTCTTTACAGACGTTATGTCATTAATCCTCAAAACATCCCTGTGAGGTACATGGCAAATATTATTATCCCCATTTTTTTATGGTGGTGGAAACTTAGACAGAGAGAGTAAAGGGCTTGCTTACGATCACACAGCGAGTCAGTGATGGACGCCTCGTGATTCTCCATGTAACCAACATACCATGCTCCTTCTCCATAGGAAAGGAGCCAGACTTTTTCAAGCATATTAATTGCTTCTTGGGTGGGATTTGGGAGGATAAATTTCAGTTTGGACTGAAATGCCTCTTTTAAGCATTACTAGAATGTAAGCACCCTGAATATTTGACTGATTTTTTTTAACTTTTCCAACTCTAAGGTAAACATTTTCAAACAAATGTTTCCCTCAACTTAGTCTAATTTCCCTCATGCCTATTAAAGGCACACCAAAGAGTGAGGCCAGAGTTTGAAGTGAAACAGAAACAGGTCTAGGAAAAAGGGAACCTCCCGTGTTCATCAGCCCTATAATGGGCCTATAATCTGACAGTGAAAATATCAGGGGGAAATGAGTAATTCTGAAGATAATGTTTTGGACACAATGAAAATTCCAGCATTAATATTGGCTAATGCTAACGTCCAATTTGAACTTTCAGATATGAGAGACTCCCATGCTTTGGTCGATAGGCTAGTATTTTTACTGCAATATCTGTTATTGCAGCGTTCCTGTGATCTCCCACGTTCCTCCATTAGACTCCGGAGGCCTTAGACTCATGGCCTGGACTCTCACCTCCTACCCCGTGGATGCTTCTTCCATGTAACCCTATGATCACCAAGAATATGGAAGGAAACCCACTAGAGGACCCAGCTCAGAAAGTCCCCCATTTTACAGATGAGGGAACTAAAGCCTAGAGAGGACAAGTGACTTGACTGAGGTCACAGAGTAGCAGATCAAGCCTGGCTCCTTTGATTAGGGGGCCCATGCTTGGTCTGCAACTCCACTGCCTGAACGTTTGTAGATTTAAGGACTTTGTGACTCCTATTTGTCCATTCGTATATACGTATCTTGGATGGTTGCTGCAAATGGACCATTGAGTTGGGCTCAGAATTGAACAGGAGAAGAGCAGGCTGGATTATCTTTGGGAAATTGCTCAGTTCTTATAATGACCCCAAGCTTCTCCCTAAAACAGGGGTTCTTCATCTTTTTTGGCAATCTGATGAAGCTTACAGGCTCCTTCTCAGGATGATGTTTGGAAATGCATGAGATAAAATACATAGGATTGCCAAAGAAATTACTTCTGTTGAAATGCACATATCAGCATATTTTAAAACACAAGTTCATGGTCCCCAGATTAAGAACCCCTGCAAACACAGTCCTATTTTTTTTCAATGGTAGTGTGTCCATGTTGGTGTTGTATAGCAGTGATTCACAGAATACTGTGTTCTCTGAAGAACTGAAGTTGAGGATCACCCAAAGGGAGGGAGTAGGGTAATGGCACATGTTTGTGGTGGTTGTTCAGTCCCTTCAATCGTGTCTGACTTTTCATCACCCCATTTGGGGTTTTCTTGGCAAAGATACTGGAGTGGTTTGTCATTTCCTTCTCTGGCTCATTTTACAGATGAGGAAACTGAGGCAAACAGGGTGAAGTGACTTGCCCAGGGTCACATAGCCAGTAAGTGTCTGAGGTCGGATTTGAACTCAGGTCTTCCTGACTCTAGGCCTGGTACACTATATCCGCTGTCGTGCCACCTAGCGTCAGCACATGACAAATGATAAGTTATGAGGGAGGAGCAATGTGAAAGATGTCATCTAAAAGTAGAGGAAGTAGAGAAAGAGACACTCCTCACGTGGCAAGAGTGAGGAATACTTGACAGATGTGAGGAAGCCCCCTGAGGCTGAGCAGACCTCCTATGGTGAGCCCGGGCTGGGCAGGCAGACATGGCTCGTGTGTCACTGGGCTGCCCCCAAGAGGCAGGAGCAAAGGAGGAGGGCAGACAGGTGGCCAGAGGATCCTGTCACCCACAGAGAGGCCCCCCTTAGTGAGCTAAGTGCCGTAGAGAGAATCTGCTGGGAAAGATGAATCAACCCAGCCCTGCAAAAGGAGAAGATACCCGCTTGTCTTCCCCCAATTAATTCAGTGTCCACAAAGATAAGAAACATGGATAGTGCAGTTCCTGGACAGTCAGCACCTTTTGCAGCAAGCTTTTCTGTGTAACTGGTGCTACTGGATCAATTTCACTTCAGCCAGCACCGTGCTAGGTTCTGGGTGTCCAAAGACAGAACCCCCACAGTTCTGGCCCTCCAAGGGCTTGGTCTTTTGGGGGTGGGAGGGAATATGAAGTACACAGTGAAGAATGTTACCAGGTAGAGGGTGGTGGGACCACAGGAGGGAGCCGGGGAAAAGTGCTTTGGGAACAAAGGTCTCCAGAAAGGTTTTCTAGACAAGGAGGCAGCTGAGCCGGGCGCTGAGGAGGAGGAGGATTCTGCAAGGTGGCGATGGGAAGGGCAGAGTCTAGTGAGCATGTCAGGCATGAAGGAGATGGGAGGCAAGCCTCAGAGGAAGGGGCAGTTTCTTTTTTGTCCTTTCATCCTGAGCACTCAGCACGGTGCTGCACATTCATCCACGCACGATACATCTACCCATATGTATGATATCATTATGGTCAGGCCTGCACATAGAAAGATTATTTGGGTACCTGTGGGAAAGATAAGTGGACAAATTGGCTTTAGGAGTCAGGCAGACCAGAATTCTGGAACGTGTGTTGAGGCTCTACCCTATAGCAGCATGTCTGCGTGGCTGAAGACAAGGGGACAATTTGAGATACTTCAATACGACATATGATTAGAAGTTTCCTCCTCAGTAATAATAGAATCTGGCTTCAGAAACGACAAGGTCATATTTTTTGTCACCTGGAAAAGTGATAACCTTCCCGCCTAAACTCATTTATTCTTCTAAATGCGCCTTCATTTCTTTTTTTTTTTTTTTTCAAACTAGCACTTAAAGATCCAGTTTCCTCTCTTTTCTCCTTCCCAAATGAGTGACGTAACGAGAAGCCTGAATATCCGGGCAGTGAAGTGGGAATCAGAGTCTCAGTGGGAAGGGACCTCTAAGGCCGTCTGTTCCGCCTCCTGCTCATGCAAGGCAGCTGTCTGCACCACCAGCGACAAGTATTCATGCAAACTTTGCTTAAACTTGTCCTTTCTACCTTGGTAGCAGCTCCCCAGCACCCCCTCTTTTCTCCTCTGACACGGTCAGCACCATGGTGCAGCCCTCACCTCATGCCTCCTGCTGCCTCAAGTCTCCCTCCATCCCAGTCAGGCTCCATTCGCTCATCAAATGGATGATCATCAAATGTAGGTCTGGGTACAGATAAACTGCAGTGGCTCCCTAGTCCCTCTGGCATAAATATAGGATCTCTGTGCAGTTTAAAGTCCTTCATAACCTGGTGCCCTTCTACTCCTACTCTTCCAGTTAGTTAATCAGTAAGCATTTATTAAGCACCTGCTGTGTGCCAGGCACTTGCTAAATGCCGAGGCTACAAAGAAACAAAAAAGGCAGGCCCTGTCCTCAAGGAGCTCCCAGTCTAATGTACATACAGCACACAAACCAGTATGTACAAACAGGATGTAGACCGGCTAATCAGGAACTAACAGAGGGAAGGCACTAGAACCGAGAGGGACGGGGAAAAGCTTCCTGTGCAACGTGGGACTGAAGTTGGGACTTGAATGGGGTCAAGGAAACTGGGGAGCAGGGATGAGAGGGGAGAGCATTTAGTCAGAGAAAATGTCAGGAACCGAGAGATGGAGAGTCATTCATGACTGGATCAAAGCGAATGTGTTGGGGGCAAGGTGTAAGAAGACTGGAGGGCAGGAGGGGGCCAGGATGTGAAGGGCTTTGGATGCCAAACAGAGCACTTCTTATTGATCCTGGAGGCAACTGGGAGCCACTGAAGTTTATTGAGTAAGGGAGTGGCATGGTCAGGCAGCACTTTAGGAAAATCACTCTAGTGACTGCATGGAGGATGGACTGGAGTGGGGAGAGCCTGAGGCAGGCAGACCCCGCAGCAGCTGCTGCCAAGGTCCTGGTGACAGGGGATAAGGGCGTGCACCGGGTGGGGATAGGGGCAGAGGAGAGAAGGGGGTGTGTTTGAGAGATGTTGCAGAGGTGAAATAGACAGGCCCGCCTGGTTATGGGCAGTGAGAGACAGTGAGGAGCTGAGAATGACGCCTGGGTTGGGAGCCTGGGGGCCTGAGAGGCTATTCTTCTTACACCTGGCTACCCTTCACAGAGCCTACAAGCCAGTGACACTGGCTGCCTTGACCTTCCTCACACCAAACACTCTATCTCCCAGCTCTGGGCCCTTTTTCTGGCTGTGCCTATGTCCAGCATGTCCGAAATTATCTTCTTTCTCATCTCACTTCCTGGCTCTCTGGCTTCCTTCAAGTCTCAGGTCAAATCTCCCCTTCTGCAAGAAGCCTGTCCTGATCCCTTTTAAAGCTAGTGCCTGCCATCTGAAGTTCTTGTTTCCTTGCACGTATTTTGTTTGTACACAGTCTGTTGCATGTTGTCTCCTCCATTAGACTGGGAGCTCTTTGAGGGCAGGGACTGGTTTTGTCTTTATATCCCCAGCGCTTAACACAGTGACTGGCAGGCACATAGTAGACACTTAATAAATGCTTATTGACTTGATGGCCTCAAGCACAGGGAAAGTTGATGCTGTGTAAGGTGGCTCTGTCCACTGGGGGTAGCTCGGACCAGTGGGAGGTTTTTCTTTACATTGATCCAAAATGTTTTCCCCTTACTCCAACTTCTGCCAAGCAGAGCAGGTGATCCTTCTGCCGCTTGACGGACTTCATATGCCTGAGGCCTGCTCTTGTGGCCTCCTGAAGTTTTTTCTTTTTCAGGCTCAATATTTCCAGTCACTTCAACTGGCAGAGGGAAAAAAAAGGAGATGAAAAGTCAGAAAAAACTCTTCCTTCTCCTGAAAGCAGCAGGCACTGGCTTTGAATTCCTAATTCTGATTCTGGCTTCTGAAAACCTCAGGTACTACAGGGAATACTGAGCCTGGCCAGAGGCCTCGGGATGCCCACAATATTCTGCGGGGCTTAGGCGACCCAGCGGAATTGGAGACAGGGCTGTATTTATAAAGAAATATTGTTTCATTTGAAACTCGGTAGTTCTACCACAGCATGGAAAATATTTATAGGTTGGAAAATATGTACAGTATGGTGTGCTTTAGCTATATAACCCAACTGTATTTTCATAGCATAAACTCCTCTGCTGCTTACATTAAACAATGTTATATTTCTTTTTAAGAAAATATATTCATAGCACTCCAAATTCCACTTTCCTCGTTCTTGACATGGTTTAAGACAGTAAAAAGAAGACATAGCCTCCCTACAAGGGCTAAAGAACAGAGAAGATTGGGCAAGACACCCAGAAGACAGAGAAAAAGACCCAGTCAAAAAGACTGGGATTTGCTGTTCTGAGAAATGGATTCTAGGGAAGACTTTTGGAGATGCTTCTCTGTTTAACAGAGGAGGGCGAGTGCTAGAGAGAACTTTCTCTAACTATGGCTCTAGTTGTCCATGGAAGGTCCTTGTCTTTGGTTTTTCTCTCACTGATGATTCCAAAAGATTTGTTTAAAGTGATCTTAAAGACTATAGAATCTGTCTTTTTTTGGTCTGCTATGTCATGTACTGAGGCTTCCATGTAGCACAGGCAACTGTGAAGATTCTGAGAAGTATGGTGGACAGCTAGGGTTTACCATAGGCAAAACCATGAAATGGGTCTAAAACAAGTACTTCGGTCCCTTACCTGCTGCTCGGGTTATGCCCACTCCAGCTCCCTCCTCTTCAGTCCTTGGTGCTCTCTCCCTGCCTCCTCTTTTAGGAAACTGTGGGACATTTATGTATATCAGAGACAGGATGGTATTTTGGAGGAGTGAGGGCTTTTCTGGGCCCCACAAATCACACTGTGATAAACAAATGTCTAGTCTGCTTTCTGTGAGGTTGGTCCTGCCAGCAAGTCTCTGACTTATTTAAATTCTTCAGGTGCATTTCCTGTAGACACGCCTGATCCTAAATCAGTAAAATATCTAAAGCAATCAACAGATTGATTTTTGCATAGTTTCAAAGGGATCAACTCTTCTTAATAATATAGAGAGTTCCTAGGATCCGGAGTGAGAAGATAGACACTCTTTAAAATAATCTCATCAAACCCCCTCAAGAACGAGGGTGAGTAAACCGAGGCCTAAAGAAGTGAGAGGACTTGGCCAAGGTCACACTGTTAATAAACCACAGAAGCAGGATTCAAACCCAGCTCTTCTTATTCAAGATCCTCTTTTCACCAAACCACATCTGCCTGTTTGTTGTCGTCTGTTGACATCCTCGTCCTCCTTCATTGGCCAGCTCAGGGGCTAACGCTCCCTCTGGGAAGCTTTCCCAGATATGCCCAGCTAATCTCACCTTCGTTTTCCTGGAATACCTTGTCTGGATCTCTACTTTGCTCCTATTACATTTTCTCTTGGATCAGCCTTATTTGCATGTGACTGACCCCCATCTTTTAGAATATAAGCTCCTTGAGGGACAGGGCAAGATACGTTATATCTAGGCAGCATTGCTGCCTAGCAGAGCATATAGCAGGTGCTTATTAAATGTTTGAATTGAAAAAGAAAATGTTTGAAGAAGTTACTGTAATCGTTTACTACAAATGTTAGAAAGACAAATGGAAAGAAAGGCTTGGTGCCTGGAGCCAGAAAGCCAGTGGTTCACTCAGAATGAAAGCAGATAAGAAACAGGAATGGCCTACGTTAGACCAAACTGACATCTTAGAAAAGTCTTCCTGCCGTTATGAGAAAAGGCTGTTCTTACAAAGGTTACAAAAATGCTTCATTTGTTGCTGAGGACTTGTATAAATATAAATAAAATTCATGTTACTGGAATAATTGGTCAATGAACTAGACCCAGAATTGAAACGGAGGAGGAGAGGAGTAGGCCAGATGGCTTTTGGGAAACCACACGATGTTTTTAATGGTCCCAGAAGAACCCCTGAAACTCAGGCCCATCTTCTCAACATCCTCATTCTTCTGGTGATGCTCTGCAGCCTTGACTCTTGAAATAGCACAGCACCAAAGAATGGAGGCCCACAGGGTTTTGAAGGGCATGCCTGGTGGTCAGCGGTAACACCAATGAGTAGCTGGGGAGGAGGGGCAACATGAGGCCTGTGGACTTAGGCCGGGAAAAGGAGGTGAGCTGGTCATGCTCAAGAGATGGAAAACCCCTGTGTTCCACTCCTATCCATGCAATGTCAAGAGAGGAAGGCCCCAACACACTGGGTCATGGGTGTGATTCTGAGAGTGGTTGGGGTAATATGAGAAGGCCTGGATGCACCCCCAAAAGGAGTGGGGCCCTCTTAGGTAGTGTCCTAGATTGGTCCCGTCAAATTGGAACCTCACGTAAAACTTAACTCTTCCCTGTGGCCAGCTTTCATCCACAAGGGTTTTCATCTCTTTGGTCTTTTTCAATGAATTTAGTGTTGATTTAAAGTGAAAGTTGGACTTCTTGGAAACGAAATGGTTAAGCTTTACCTGATGCGGAGGAAGTACTTCAGCAAGTGAAACAAAGTTGAGTACCTGTCTCCTTCGTCCTGTGTCTTCCTGCAGAGATTACCCACAAAAAGTGGTTTAGGGCTGGCAGATAAGAGAGGGCCTTCAAATGTGAGCTCTTTGAAGGCAGAGACAGTTTCATTTTTGCCTTTGTATCCTCAGTGGCTAGTACACAGTAGGTGCTTAATAAGTGCATATTCAGCTGAATTAGGCTCGTACCAGCACAGTTTTGGGGAGGGAGGTATATTTCTCTATGTAACAGTTTCTATAATTAAGCTAAAGGCAAGCTGATTTCTGTACTCACTGAAGATACTTCGTAGAGAATTAGATTCAAGCCCGTGACCTACATAGCAGGTCTGTGAGAACCAATGTATTACATGACCAATCCTATAGCTGCTGTCTTTATCTTTCCATCTCCTTTTTGAAGAATCAGCAAGCCTGTGTCAAGCTTGGTACATCTAGTGACACCATCATGTCACTGCCTGTAGATTTCCTCTACTCATGCCAGAGAGGGAGATAAAAAACCCTTTTCATTTCTATCATTATTTTTGTTGTGGGTTTTTCTTTGCTTTTTTCTTTCAGAATTTTAACCTCTACATATCTGGGTTGTTACAGAGTTCACACAGAATCACCTAGGCACTTGAAAGTGAGAAAGCAATGGATATGTTTTAAATAGATTTTTAAAATCCCCTTAAATATCGAATAGTGTTTTTAGAGCGTTAAAAGGTAAAGCAGGCCAACCTCAAAGCATGTTCCTTCATCAGCTTTCCAGCTTTGAGGAAAGGAACTCATTTCACAATCCAGCTTTCATCCTAAGTAGCTAGCTAGAGGCAGGCCAACAGATCAGAGTAATAAACACATCTGGGTAATAAAGATGAGCGTAGTCAATGGCGGCCTCCACACAGAATTGCTGCGGCCTGCACAGAGGCACGCGCTTAAATCTTCATCTGTGGAGGAAAATGTCTCTCTCACTTTTTAACCTCCCCACGCTGCTTGGAGAGAGGGAGAAAAGGCAGCCAGTCCTGTTGACTTAGATCCTAGGCATCCACCAGGCATCCAGCAGACCAGAATGCACCTGCCTGGGATCTTTAGGGGAAAAAACCGTAACTGGCCACTGCCAGGTGGCATTCTCCCAGGTTTGGACCGATGATTGAGTTGTCATTACCAATAAGTGATTGGACGCAGTTCAGGAGGACCGCCTTGTTATCCATTTCTGATCGCGTGACAAGATGGCTGTTCTTGGATTCTCTGGACTGAGGCCCAAACTAGAACCAGCTTTGCTGGTGGCTCCTTATTTTTGGTAGGCAGTGGAGACCTTGCTGAAGAAGTAGCCTGGGACTTTCTTCTAGATGTTAAAGCTGTTTTCCAAGGAGAGGCCTGTGACTTCGATCAAGATCCCTGGTAACCCAGGATGTCATACCTTGGGCCCTGATACATTTCTGCCTTCTCTGGGCTAATTTTCTGCTTCAGAGAACTAGCAACAGTTAGAAAAGGAGGATGAGAAAGAACAAAGGAAAATGAAAATAAGAAATATAGTAAATGAGAAAAATCACTTTTCTGAGACTATCCTACAATAGGGTAAAGAACAAGGAATGTCAGAGCTGGGAGGGGCCTTAGAGCAAAGAATGTCAATGACCCCTGAGGTCATCTAGTCTAGCTCTCTCCAATTATGTAGGAGGAATCTGATGCTGTACATAGGTAAAATTTCAAATGCCACGGCAAGATGGGAGGAGGGAACAGGTAAGGCAGATATTTATAAATCTGAGCCTTCTCTGTGCCTCCAAACCCACAAAAGGCAGTGTACCTCTTCTCCCTATGTTTAAGGGTAGGCCTGTAGTTCTCCAAAGGAGACTATGTTAGCAAATATTATGTGTACTAAAGTAGCAAATCCCTGATGTTGGCTTCATAAAGCAGAAAGGATGCTGCTGGGACTCTTCACAGAAACATGCAGATAGTCTGCTCCTTTGAGAAAACTCTTTTAGAATTTATAGGCAAAAGGATCATCATTCTTCAGAGTTTAGCTAAGTAATTGTTTTATGTAGAATGTCTGACAATGACCCAGAAGATTGTCTTTCCTTAAATAGAATGAGCGATGCATCAGAAGACAGTCATCTGATGTAGACTGAATTATCCACATTTTCAGTCTAGACTGTCCCAGACTCACTGGATATGTGAACACTCAGTTTGCTTTGGCCTTACAGATGTGGCTTCTGTCACCCAGCATAGTTGTTAGAAGTACCAAATACACCTCCACAGCGTGGTTCTCAAACATTCTTTTGCATGGATTGGTTCAAAACTATTTCCAAAGAATTATAGACTTTTACAGCTGTTGAAGATCTCACTGACTGTCTAGTTCTTATTTCACTGGTGAAGAAAGAAAGTTGATTTGTACAGATTATAGTCAGCCCACTTCCCTCCCCGCTCTGGCTTTCAGTTTCTTCATTGGCAAATGAGATCTAGAAAGGACCGAGGCCCCTTCTAGGTATAAAATTCTATGATTCTTCCTAAGAAATGTCCCCAGGGAATCACTTCTGCTCTTGGAACTGTTTCTGAACCTTTTTAGCTTCTTATAAACCAGTGGCAGTTTTCAA